GGGCACTGTGGAAGGGGCCCATGCAACCACTGTGCAGAAGGCTCCAGACCCCATGTGCTGGGGTTGGTCAACAAAAATGCATGTGAGCTAAGCAGAAACCCTGGCAGGGGGTGGAGGTGGGGAGCTACAAGGCAGGAGGTACTTTCTTGGGTCAAGGGACCCCTACCCCTTTGAGTTGCCTTGAGTTTGGGTTCAGGCCCTTCAGCTCAGTCACTGGGGGCTCCCTCTGTGCCTAGGACGATGGGCACAGCCTGCTTGGGCAACCTCCAAGACCAGGGCTCTCTTGGGACATGCTAACCAAGGGCCTGTGCCAGGGCTGAGCTTCCAAACTGGGAAGATGTAGGAAAAGCCCCAAATGCCAGGCCCACTGCCAATAGTCCACTCTGACTCAGAGCCACCCTACAGGATGGGGTAGATCTGTCCCTTTGAGAATCCAAGAGGTTAAATCTTTAGGGGATCAGACTGTCTCTTCATTCTCCCATGGAGCCACTGGTGGATTTGAACTGCCCAACTTGTGGTTAGCTGCTCAGTTTATAACCCCCAGCACCACCAAGTCTGTTTCAAGATGTGTGTGAGGGTTTCCAAGGACCTTTTAATCTCATTTTCCACCAGCTTTTTGAAGCTCCCTTGTATAAGAGTGGGTAGGGCAGTGGGGCATAGCATTGGCTCCATCGTCCAGACTTGTACGTATGCCCTGACCCTGTCTGAGGACCCTCAGAAGGAGGAGGCCAAATCCCCGGGGGCTGTGTGGGTTCTGCATTTACAGAACCAGCTTGGGAATCCGTAACCTTGGAGCCTCCTTGGGGAGGGGGCACTGGGAACTGGGGGCCAGTGTCATCCTCCCGGTCAGCAGCTGCCCCAGCCCCTTCCCATCCCCCCATCCCTTCCTCTGCGCCGCCCCCCCCCCCATCCTAGCTTGCCAGCTCCAACCTGCTGCAGTCAGATTCTGTCCCCATGGCAACGAGCTACATATGACGTTAGCAGGCACCCATCTCACTGCAGATGCTAAATGGACACGAGGATGTAGCTGAGTGTCCCTGCCATCTGCCAGCCTCGCTCTGGGCTCTGACCCACACTCCTCCCAGGAGGTGCAGCAGCAGGAGGGAGTAAGGAGCATGCTTCTCAGACCAGAGGACCAATTAGCCCAGCTCAGCTGGCCCTCTGCTGCCTCCAGCCAAAAGCATAGGGATAAAGCTTAGCACAGGCAGGTGGGGCCAGGTGCCGCAGATCTGTTAGGGGACACCAGCCTAGGCTGCTGGGGGATTAACTGCCATTGGGTCAATCAGGACAGACAAAATGAATAAAAATGCACTGCTATCCAGTCGATGCCGGCTCATAGTGACTCTGAAGGGCAGAGTAGAACTACCTGCTGTGAGTTTCCTAGATTGTAACTCTTCATGGGAGTAGAAAGCCCCATCTTTCTCCCTTAGAGTGGCTGGGGGTTTCGAACTGCTCACCTTGCGCTGAATAGCTCAGCGCATCACCACGGTCAGAAATGGCCTCATGAATGCGTAGCAGTGAAAGTCTGTTAGTGGTGACCTGGGGCTGTAGGAGGGGCCAGTGGGGTGTCATTGCTGAAGGGATACTGAGTTCCTGTTTGGGGAGAGGAAAACGTTTTGGAAATAGGTGATGGAGAGAGTGCCACAGGGGTCCTGGTGTCACAGCAGGTGAAACATCCAACTACTAACGGAAAGATCAGCAGTTAGAACCCACCAGCTGCTCAGAGCGAGAACGAGGTGGCAGTCTGCTCCCATGAAGGTTACAGCCCTGGAAATGTCGTGGGACAGGCCTACTCTGTCCTATAGGACACACTTGGAGCTGGACTGGGGGCCAAGGGTGTGGCGGTTGCAGTAAGCTGGGATGGGGATGGAGATGCATGTAAAGCAGGCAGGAGTGGATGTAAGTCAGGGGTGGGCATCAGCCACATTCCTAGTGAGGGAGAGAAGAGGACTGTCCCCAGATGGGAAGGCTCAGAGGGATAAGGGCCTGGGGGTTGACTGTTGGGGAGCTGGAGGCTCTAACCCTACAGGGTGTAGGGCGGTAGGTTGGAAGGTGGGAGGAATCCAGGGCGTCTAGACCAAACCCAAATCCACACTCACTGCCGTCGAGTGGATTTTGATTCATCGTGACCCTTGAACACAGATTGGAACTGCCACATAAGGTTTCCAAAGCTGTAATCTTTAGGGGAGGAACCTGATGGCGTAGTGGTTAAGTGCTAGGCTGCCACTCAAGATCCGGGGTTTGACCCCACAGCTGCTCCGTGGGCAGTCAGCTTCAGTCAAGAGGGCAGCCTTGGGAGCCCGAAAGGACAGTTCAATAACTGAGAGTAGGCTCATCTTCAGGGAAGCAGGCTGCTCCATCTTTCTCCTGTCATGGATGTGAACTGCAGGCCTTTCAGTTTGCAGCAGAGCACTTTAACCACTGTCCCACCAGGGCCATCTCTAGCATAGCCACTGGCTACACATGACTGTGGTTTGTCTCTGTCAGCAAACGCAAGGGGCCCCCCATGTGTGTTGGTTAAGAACTGTGCTCTGGACGAGCCAGTCAGGGTACAGGGTAGCACCACATACAACTTTCCTCTAGTTCTTTAATGCTTCCTCCCCTCACTATCATGACCTCAATTCTACCTTACAAATCGGACTAGACCAGAACATGCACACTGGTACAGATAAGAGCCCACAACACAGGGAATCCAGGATAGATAAACCCCTCAGGACCTACAATGAGAATAGAGATACCAGGAGAATAAGGGGAAGGTGGGGGGGAAAAGAGGGGATCATCACAAAGATCAGTATATAACCCCCTCCCAGGGGGATGAACAACAGAAAAGCAGGTGAAGGGTGACAGAGGATGATGTAAGATATGAAAACAACAATCTATAATTTATCAAAGGTTCATGAGGGAGGGAGGGGGACAACGAGGAGCCGATATCAAGGGCTCAAGTAGAAAGAAAATGCTTTGAAAATGACGGCAACATATGTACAAATGTGCTTGACACAATGGATGATTGTACGGATTGTGATAAGAGATGTAAGAGCCCCCAATAAAAGTATTTAATACAAAAGAAGACAAAGAAGAAGAAGACCTGTGCTCCAGGGGAGTTTTCAAAACTGTGAGCTGGAAGCGCTGAGTAAGTAAGAGTCCTTCCCGTGGAAAGGGTCATGGTGAGTGGCTGCTTTGGAGCTCAGGGTTGGGCTTGAGCACACACCTGGTTCCTGGGTACCATCAGCTTTTAGGAGCTGAGTCTCCGCATCCCTTCTTGGAGTTCCTGGGCAGCCCAAACAGTTACTATGCTCAGCTTCCTCACTGTCATCCAGCTCTTCTGACTCAGAATAGAGGACAGAGGACAGGCTAGAACTGCCCCCACAGGTGTCCGAGGCTGTCACTCTTTGCGGGAGCAGAAAGCCTTATCTTTCTACAGGGAGCCACTGGCGGGCTCCAACTGCTGACTTGGTGGTGAACGCCCCAACACGTAGCCACCGCTCCACCAGGGCGCCTCTGTGCTGTGCTCCAACCCAAAAGTTGGAGGTTTGAGTGTCCCCAGAGAGCGGCACCTCGGAAGAAAGGCCCAGTGGTGTCCTTGCAAATCATCAGCCGTTTTCAGAAAGAACAGATTCTGGGATCTTAAAGGCTTGTCTTAAAACAAACAACCCTCTAAGGGAGGCATCAGCCGAGTCCACACACCAGCCTGTGTGATCCAAGGACTGTGAATAATAAAATCCAAGACCCGAGGAGAGAATGGTATTAGTGCATAAATTCTGAGTACCCGGTTTGCAGAAGGCCATGGATGACAGTGAAAGCCTAAAGTCCATTTGCAAGGTCCCCACGTGGATTAAGCCGCCGGCGAATCCTCTCTGATCATTGATCAGGGATGTGAATAGTCTCACTGCCAGACAGTGTGCATTGGAGAGTAGACTAATACAGATGTAATTAGGTTAAAATGTAGCATCTTATCGATTACTCTCCCCTTTGATGCATTTTGGGAGCTCTGCTGGCATAATGGTTACAAATTGGGCTGCTATCCTTGAGGTCAGCAGTTCAAAGCCACCAGCTGCTCCTCTGGAGAAAGGTGGGGCTTTCTACTCCTTTAGAGCAGCAGTTCTCAACCTGTGGGTCACTACCGCTTTGGCGGTCGAAGGACCCTTTCACAGGGGTCACTCGATTCATCATAGTAGCAAAATGACAGTTATGAAGTAGCAGCGGAAATCATTTTATGGTTGGGGGCCACCACCACATGAGGAACTGTACGAAAAGGTGTGGCATTAGGAAGGTTGAGAACCACTGCCTTGCAGTGACTGTCTCAGAAACTCACAGGGGCAGTTCTACCTAGACCTGTGGGGTCGCTGTGAGTCAGAATTGACTCGGTGGCAGTGAGCTTGGTTTTGATCCATTTTAAATTGGTTTTAGTTTTTATGATGTTATGCTTTCTTTTCCACTGAGATTTTCCTGTTTTATTTTATTCTTGGTGTTGGGTAGTTCCTTTCCTTTTCTTTTTCATATGTTTTTCTTTCTATATAATCCAGGATGGGTAAATCTATAAAGACAGCAACTGGATTCATAGTTTCCGAGGGGTATGGCAAGGGAGGTGGGAGAGGGTGATGGGGAGCTAATAATGAGGGCGAAAAGGAAGAAAATAATCTAAAATTGATTGTGGTGATGATTGCACAACTCATCCGTATGTTTAAACCACTGAATTGTATGATATGTGAATTATGTGTCAATAAAACTGTTAAAAGTAAAAACAAAAAACACCAAATCAGCTGTTGAAAACCCCACGGCGAGAAGTTCTCTGGCACACTGGGTCACCGTGAGTCACCGTTGGCTTGGTGTCATCCCGTTTTGCTGGGGAAGGGTTTATAATGTGGAGTCCACTGGGCTCCGAGCTTGGCATTATGGGAAATGAGCCTGCTTTTCCACCTGTAAAATGGAATCAGAGACGCCAACCCAGAGGGTGGGAGGGGTCTGCTCGCCACTCTCTGCCCTGAAACACAATCTCTGTCTCTGGCCTCCCAGGCTCATACGAACTCCAAGTCACCACTGATGGCCCGGCCACCACGGGGGCAGAGGTGACCGTCTCGGCCAGCTTTGTGGATGAGGACAACAGCAGCCTGTCCCTGTCTGCTGAGGATCCCCTTTACCACTTCCACTGGATTCACACCCCGCTTGTACTCACCAACAAGACCCAGAAGGGGTTCTCCTCCACCATCCGCGTGGTCAGCCAGGCACCCGGGGACTTGCCCGTCTCCGTCTGGGTCACTGCGGCCAATTGCTGGATGTGCCAGCCTGTGGCGAGGGGCTTCACCGTCCTCCCCATCACAGGTGAGGACTGTCCCTGGGTGCACATTTCCCTCAGTGCCCCCGGGACCTGGGTAGAGGTCATCCCATTAATGCCCAGCAGACCAGGAGTTCCTTCTCTGTGGTCAGCCGAGCTTGTAGAGGATCAGAAAACGGTCATGTCCAGTACTGCCACAGCTGCCCTAAAGTGAACACAAGGAGTCCATACTGTTCCTGTGCTACACGCGATTAACAAATCCCACCAGCGCGGGCCGGTGGTGCTCAGTCTATCATTCAGTCCCAGTCTCCCTCATTCCAAGAGGTTCCTGCCCAACAAAAGTATTTCTCTCCGGAAAACAAACTTTCCTGTGAGCAGTGCTTGGTGCGCAAAGATGTTCATTGCAGTGATGTATATTAAGGCCACAAAACATAGACAAGCTCATTATCTAATCGCAGAGGAAATAATTTATATCACTATCAGTCACAGCCCTGACAGTTTGCTGTGCCACGCGGAACAGACTCAGGCTTTTGTAAAATTGAAAAACCAAAAACAAAATTCACTGCCCTCAACTCGATGCCGACTCAGCAACCCTAAGGGACAGGGTAGAACTTCCTCCGGTGGGTTTCTGAGACTAACCCTTTGTAGGAGTAGAAAGCCCCTTTCTCCCAGGGAGTGGCTGGTGGTTTTGAACTGCTAACGTTGAGATTGGAAGCTCGACTCCTAACCACGATGCCACCAGGGCTTGTAAAGTTGAAGGATGGTGGGCAGGGTGGCAGGCAAAGCAAAACATTGTGCAACCCATCGGATGAACAGTGTTTAAAATATTAGGTCCCTGGTGGGGAAATCATCCGTTGACATTCTTTTCTGAGAAGGAGGCCTAGAACAGTGGCCCTGGGGGTGGAGATGAATGAGAAAAACGAACTCAAAAACCAAACTCACTCCCATTGACTCGATGCCAATTCATAGCAACCCGACAGGACAAGTTACTGTGTTGAGTCTCTGCATACCCTTTGCCAATCCCTGGGCAGCCCAAACAGTTACGATGCTCAGTTTTCTCACACCATCGAGTCTATTCTGACTCATAACGACCCTATAGGACAGAGTCGAACTGCCTTTGTGGCTTCCGAGGCTGTCACTCTTTACAGGAGCAGAGAGCCTCGCCTTTCTTCCAGGGAGCGGCTCGTGGGATCCAACTGCTGACTTTGTAGTTAGCAGCGCACTATAACCTCAGGGCTCTAGGACAGCGGAAGTGCTCCTTTGTTTTTTAAAACATTTCCCAATAGTGACCTTGAATGTCCCTACCACTCCTTCTGGCACCTGGCATCTTCTGTCACAGAAGGCTTAGGGTCCTGGTGCCATGAGGGTGAAGCAAAGTTATGCATGTAGCATACACCGTCTATCTTTCCAAGTACCCGTTTGGGGGAGGGCCAGGGGGAGTGGCCTGTGTGTGTGAGGAGGTCTGACCGCCATCAGGGAGCCCTGAGGTCACGCCCTGTCTCTGCCCTTCCTGCCCCCTCCCTTCCTGACTCACTCTTCCTGATTTCCCCCAGAGTTCCTGGTAGGAAACCTCCTTGTCACCCAGAACACTTCCCTGCCCTGGCCCAGCTCTTACCTGACCAAGACGACCCTGAAAGTTGCCTTCCTCCTCCACGACCCCAGCGACTTCCTCAAGCCCGCCACCTTCCTCTACAGCTGGGACTTCGGAGATGGGTATGTCCTTACCTGTCCCCCACCCCCTGCCCTCAAGCTCTGGCCCAGGTGTTTTGTAGATGGTCCCCAACGGCACCTGTTCAGCCTCGCTTTGAACATTTCTTGAACATGACTTGGGGCTGCTGGGGAGCTAGTCATTGGCTCTGCCTTCCAGGCACCGGCAGCCTCATAGAGGCGGCTCTGGGCACCTTTGGGGGCACGTTGGGCCCTTGTAAGAGAAGAGGGTGATGCCAGAGCCTCCGGGGTCGTGCCTGTGGTGGAGGCATGGTTCCCATGCTACTTGGATGAGGAAAGTGAGGCTGAGCTAAGTTAGGGACACAACCGGAAGTCCTGAGCTGAAATTCCCTACCCAGCTGCCTCTCAACTCCAGGGTGCACACCTGCCCCTTCCCCAGCGTGGGTCCCCATCTCTGACACCACCGCTGCCAGATCTCTGGCTGGGGATGCAGACAGAGGGCATCCTTGGCAGGTGACGGGGCCCTTGCTATTAGGAGTTCTCCCACCTGTAATGTACCTGCATTGATGTACCGCACTTCACGCACGCACACTCTGAGGAGGTCTCCAGGGGGTGCCGTGGGGCGGTGCCACCCGACACTGCCTGGTGTGTGTGTGGCGGAACGTCGCGTGGCAGCTGGTACATCTGTGGCAACAGGAACCCCCGGTGTGACCTGCTGTGACCCAGCCCCCCTGGCCTCAGGTTCCTACTCTATGAAGTGGGAGGGCTGGTCTGGGGACCACTGCTGCAGCTACAGCAGTGGAGCCCCGGTTTTGTGGATGTGTCATGTGACTCAGGTCATCTTCCTCTGTCTCCACAGGACCCAGATGGTGACGGAAGACCCCGTGGTCTATTACAACTACTCGATCATGGGGACATTCACCGTGAAGCTCAAGGTGGTGGCCGAATGGGAGGAGGCGGGGGCTAAGCCGGGCGCCGTAAAGGGCATCGTGCAGAAAACGGGCGACTTCTCTGCTTCCCTGAAGCTGCAGGGTGTGTGTGTGGGCACTCCCCTTTCCCCCAGGAGCCCTGATACCCCTCTTTCCAGGGCTTGATCAGGGTGGGCCCAGCTGGCCAGCAAGCAGTGTTACTGCACATATGTCCATCCATCCTGGTCTCAAACTTTTTGCACCTTCCTTTTGAGAAAACCTGATGGTACTGTTCTACTCTGAGCAGCCACACTGTGGCGACAGAAGTGGTGCTGACTCCACCGCCACTGGGGATCATAGGGGACACTGGCGCATGCAGGGAGGCCAAGTAGCAAAGCCGGGATTCAAACCCAGGGCTGTGTCTGTGTGTGTCCCGCAGTCTGAGTTCTGCTGTGAGCTGGCACGCTGTCCTTCAACTAGTGCTCTGATCAGGGTTGGACGACTGTGGCCCCAGCACCCCCTGCTTCTCCTCTGCACGGAGGGGTCCTGGGCCCCTTCCTTGCCCTGGCTCTGGCCAGGCACCACTAATTCTTCGGTTTTGGGGCTGCCCTCACGTGGCTCAGGTGCCAGCACAGATGACAGGGGGCAGGAGAATCGGCAGGGGACCCAGGGAGTCAGCAAGGGTCCCAGGCCTTGGTGGCCAGTCACCAGAGTCCTGATGCCATCTTGACCTTCCCTGCTCAGCAGGCTCGGGCACATGCCAGATGCCCCCTGGACAGGGGAGAGGACAGGGGAGTGATCACATAGTCCCAGAACCTAGAGCCTGGGGATTTGTGCTTGGGGACCAGGTCTCATGGGGCTCCTTCTGTCTTTCAGAAACTCTTCGAGGCATCCAGGTCTTTGGGCCCACTTTAATTCAGACCTACCAGAAGTTGACCATGACCCTGAACTTCCTGGGCAGGTGAGTGAACCCTGGAGTGTCCTGCGGGTATGCCATCCCCTGGGATGTTCCTGAGTTGGGGGGCTGATGGCAGGACAGGCCACTGCTGTGTGACTCTACCATGGAGGCCCCACAGGGGTCCATCCTAAAATGGACTCTGGGCCTCAACCCACCCGGCCTTCCTTGGACTGTGCTCATACGCCTTGCCGAACTGTTTCTGAACTGTCCCCATCTCCCTCCAGCCCCCCACTGAGCATGTGCTGGCTCCTCAAGCCGGAGTGCCTTCCTCTGGAGGAAGGGGAGTGCCACCCAATGTCGGTGGACAGCACATTCTACAACCTGACGCACACCTTCAGAGACCCTGGGGATTACTGCTTCATCATCCGAGCTGAGAATATCATCAGCAAGACTCATCAGTACCACAGGATCCAGGTGTGGCCTTCCAGTAAGTGACAGGCGGCAAAACTAGTCAGCCCTGCTCCCACCACCACCACCACCA